ACCATATGCATAATATGTTTTATACATGTAAAATAAAGTATGTCAAATAAAAAGGTTTTAAACATAAAGAATACAAATAAATTGATCACTCATAATTAAGCATTCTCAGAATGTACACAGGAGTGCACCATATCGTGCGGCCCCAGAGGAAATATTTCTCGGAAGTTTCTCTTTTGACTGCTCCTACTATTGCGTGCCGTTCTTCATTGGTCTCCGTCAACGGTTCGAAATCGAAGAAGAACAGAGCGATACGAGCAGCCGGAGGAGAAATTTCCAAGATATATTTCTCCTGGAACCGTACGATATGGTGCACTTCTCTGTACAATAATACATATTTTTGACTGTAAGTATAGTCGATTTACTTGTAGTTTTAATATTACTAAACTTTTTCACGTGAAATACTGATTTTAGAATTCCAGAAAAGCTATGAATTAATTGAATAGATTTAGGTAGATTGAACTATAGACAATGGAATCTGATATCAATTTATTTGCAGTGATTTTGTTTGCTTTTACAGTCAAACAGATAGCATCGGTAAATCATTTTATTTATTTATACATAAAAATATGATAAATACAACACAAAGTATTTCTTCAAAATTTAAGTTTTAAATTTGTATTACTTATCATAAGAAGTACTTGATTATTATAAAATAAATATCCTTTTAACATAGTCTTATAACATTTTTTATATCTTTATATCATCACCAGTAGCAACTGTCCTCACACACACACACACACAAATACATGTTCTACTAAATATATCAATAAAAATATTTTAGTGTCCTCAAAAGATGCAATATACTGTTATAAGTATCAACGAGAACAGTCCTCAAAAACATCAACATACAGATACACAAACGAGGACGGTCCTCAATAAATACAAATGTCCTCGAAAACTGTGGTTCTTTCCATAAAATGTCCTTGAAAACATCATTTTATATATATATATATATTCTAGTCCGAACTGACCTGCCCTCCCAGGTTTGCTCTACTTAACCTAACCTTAAGAATCGGCCTGACCTCCGATGTCTTTCAGATTGCAGGACACACACCCTCGCTCAATGATGCGTTTATTACGTCCAATAGTTCACCACCTACAACACTCCACGCTGCCCTAAGAACCTCGACACTTATGCCCTCCTCTGTACCGCGTTTTCTGGGCATTTGCTGAACAATTCCCTCTACCACTTGTCGTGTTACAGTCTCAAAACGGTCCAGCGTCTGCAAAATTTCGACATTAGCACCCGCGTATAACACTGCCCGAGTCTGCGCATCGTTTATGAACCGCACTATACTGTCAATGCTCCGCACATAAAACCTATTAACTCTATTGGCTAAGCTACATTTGCCTGCTCCATCCAGGCCCTCGAAGTCTATACTGTCCCAGCTACCGCTTTCACTAGGACAGCCTCTAATTATCTGTTTTAAAGTTTTCCACATAACCCTAGGATTATTTCTATTACGGTCAATCATGCATTCATAATATTCCCTTTTCTTTGTCCTTATCATTCTAACCACCGAATTTCTCTGTTGTCTATAGTTCAACCATCCCAGGGCTGTGCCTTCTCGTATTGCTCTTCTGTAGGCAACATCCCTTTGAAGTACTGCCTCCCTAATCTTTTGAGAGAACTACGCTTTGCCCGCCCATACAGCCGGGATTCTAATCTGTCTCTTTGGCACTGCAATATCCAATGCCCGCACTATATTGTCTACTAGATTTGCAGCCCTATCACTCACATTTTAATTCATCCCAATGTTATATCCTATGCTCACTTGCTCGATAAACCTTTCTATAGTAAGCCTATTAAAGTTCCTCGCCGTGTACTCCTTGTATTTTTTTATTTGCGCCGCCAGGTTGTAGAGCGACCTCCAGCCACGCATGGCCAGTGACCTTTGGCTCATAGAGTAATCTCAAATTTACTATTAGAAAAAAACAAATCTATCATAGATCTACTACTTTCAGTTATTCTCGTTGGTTCCCTGACACATTGCTGCATACCAAACGCGTGCATCAAACCACGCAATTTGCCCTTATAGAAGGAATCCCCCACAAAGTCTATATTGAAATCACCCACCACAATACACTCTTTATTTATCATCATATTCTCCATGGTATCCTCCATGAAATTCACGAACTCAGCGTCCGATGCACTGGGCGAGTGGTAGACTGCCATCAGTATACCACTATATACGTTTCCTTTCAACTCGATCACAGCACTCCAACAGTTTGACTCAATCTTTCTAGTCCACATCGTCTCATACTTTATGTCATTTCTCACGTATATAGTCACACCACCCGTCCTTCGATTCTCACCATCACATCTTACCAGACTGAAGCCAGGCACTCCTATCTCACAGTCATCAACCTCAGCAGTCAACCTTGTTTCCGCCAGCACCACCATCGCCGGACTCCCATTAGTCATCATGAGATTATGTATCTCATTCTTGTGGGCCAGCAGGCTCTGTGCATTGGTATATATCATGCATTCTGATCTTCTTTGTTTGTGTGTTGCTGTTGCTGTGCCCCGTAGTTGCTACTTGTCTTTGCAGGTGCTTATTCTCCTTCTTTCTTCACGCAGTGCCCTTTGATAAATAGGGCACTCGACGCTGAACGCATCGTGTCCGTCATCTATCCTGAGGTTGAACTTTTGCGCTCTATACGCACAGTTTGTACACTTCTTAGTGTGCTCGACACACTGATTCGGTGAATGACTTCCAGCACACTTATATCATGTCATTTCCCTTTTACAGTTTTGTGCCATGTGATAGTAGCCCCAGCACTTGAAGCATCTCATCACATTAATATGCTCGAATACATGGCACTTCCTCCACCCTACGTTTACCTTCTTTTCCTTCATCTTTTGATAGGTGTTCTCATCCAGCTCCACTATTATGGAGCCTTCTTCTTTAGACTTCCCTTTCGCTTGGTTCTCACTTCTTCGCCTTGACGTTATCCTTTTCAGCAAACGCATGTGAAAGCCATCAACGTTACTTTCAATCCTGTTCTGCCTCTTGATGGTCTCTATGAGGTCCTTGTCTTCCATATTCATTTCTTCCTTATCTATATTGACAACTTTAACCTTTGGCTTGCGAGAGAGAGAGAGAGAGAGAGAGAGAGAGAGAGAGAGAAAGAGAGAGAGAATCTGTTTAAACTTACTCTTTTATTTTCTTCTGACGATGCTTGCGCAGCTTGCGCCCACAAAGTCATCCACGCCATTTCGTTCGCTGGCGGCCGATCGTTTTCTGATGGCCAATTGTTACCTGGCGCCCGATCGTTCGCTGGCGGCCAATTGTTACCTGGCGGCCGATCGTTTGCTGGCGGCCAATCGTTCGCTGGCGGCCGATCGTTCGCTGGCGGCCGATTGTTTGCTGGCGGCTGATCGTTCGTTGGCGGCCGATTGTTTGCTGGCGGCTGATCGTTTGCTGGTGGCCGATCGTTTGCTGGTGGCTGATCGTTCGCTGGCGGCCGATTGTTTGCTGACGGCCGATTGTTCGCTAGCGGCCGATCGTTCGCTGGCGGCTGATCGTTCGCTGACGGTCAATTGTTCGCTAACGGCCGATCGTTCGCTGGCGGTTCTTTTCCCGGTCACCGCTCTACAGGTGGTACAGTTCGTCCTATAAACAGAAAAAAATGTATTTATTAACTTGTACTAATGTACTAGAATGATAGATGAATATTAATAAAGAAAAAAACAGATACTTACGTCTTCGTCCCCTTGACGCATCCGCAGCTATCGTTGCCCACGACTCCATGTTGAATAATGGCAAAACCGGCGCATTGATACCACTATAATCACCGCGATCACGTGTCGATACTGCGATCTATTTTNCGCATGCGCAATTGCATGTATAAGCGCGCGCAATGCGCGATACGCTGCGGAAGTTTGTTAGGATTATTGCACGTGAAAAAATTTTAACCGTAACCGTAATGTCGTACATAGTTAACCAATTACAGACCAGTATTATCTTACATTAGCTGAAATGCTGACCAGCGATTGGTCGATTTGCTTACGACCTTATGACTACGTATAAACTTTTGCCACGTGCAATGGCCTTTAGGAAATAATGCGTGAAAATGCGGTAGCCAATCATTTTGCTGCTTCATAAGAACAAATTGCTACAAACATTGTTTATAGCCAATTTTGTACTTTCTTTAAAAATTTTTCTGTACGAATGTTTAGTTTTAATTTTTTGTTACATTCAAAGAAAAATTTTAAAGTTACTAGCAGTACTTTACAAAGTACAAGTTATTCAGATAAAAACGCACTTACAATTTACAAATGCAAGTACTTCTTCATGTACTAAAATCATTTACAATATTCTGTATGTACATGTACATACATAACATTGTTGTCATTCATGATGTCATATTTGTGCTATATGTTCACAATTTGTCTATTAGGGTAAAACAAATATTGTAAGTTGTTTTAGTACATGAAGAAATATTTACATTTGTAAACACATAGTTAATACAGAAACGCGTTTTACTCTAATAGATAAATTGTGAAAATATAGCACAAAAATGACATCGTGAATGACAACGATGTTACAATAATTGCACTATGATGATTCGCCATAACGCAACAGCTTTGTGAAAATAAAATGTAGTACTTAATATTTATATACATAATATTTGTCAAAAATTAAAAATGAGTCCTTGTGCATTTCTAAAAGTATGAACATGAATTTATTTCTTCATGTGTAATAATATTTCTACATGTGTTTAACATCACATTGCTAAAATGTATTTCACAATTATTGGACAATGTTTTTTTAAATTTAATTTTGCAAACATACTGCTAAAGTAATTCGCCATATCGTCATTGTTTTGCCGAAATAGTATGTGGAAATTAATTTTGTTAACAGTTATACATATTTTATAAAAGATCAATATTTTTACATTTATTTATCGAAATGTATCTACATACTTGCAAATCACAATTGTCATGCAAGATTTTGTCATCTAATTTTATAACTGTTTTTCTATCGGGATAGATTATAACATTACGCATACTAGCGACCAATTGGAGCTGCGTTACACTTTTCATTGTCAGTATTAAAAATGTCATCTCTATGTCACATGTAATATTCATTTCCAGTACTGACAGTGTATATTAAAAATGCAGCTTGGAACTCTATCAGTTGGTGATGAGCGTCACGGTTGTCGAGTGGTTACCACTTGAATGTGAGAGAAGGGAGGACGAATTAGTGTGCGCGTCATATCTTGTTTGCGCGAACCGTACATCTCGTTCAATGCGTGAGTCGTATTACGGTTAGGTTATCTGTACGTGAACGTATTCGTACATATAAATAATACATACATATACAAACATATATATATATATATATATATACATGTAATATATATTTGTATGTATGTATTTAAATATTTATTTATATTTACATATATTAAAGTGAATATTACGTTATTGTGATAACGTGACACTTTAGTGAATAAAGTTGTATATAAAGTTATTTTAGAGTATTATATTGTGAAGTATTGTGTAGTATATATATATTACTTGTGAGTGCAATAACTGATGGGAAACAAGGCAAAAATAGCAAACAAATATTTGTCCGCAAAGAGAGCCTCCAAACAAAAGGGCTGGACAAAACGGTGAGTAACACTAATTTTTTTATATCATAATGTGATGGTGTGTGATTGAAATGGAAAGACATAAAATATAAAGTTTTGCTATTTGATAGATNAAATCGAGATCTAAAGAAAGTTTGGATGTGAATGTAAATTGCCACAATAAATGAATGCATGTAAATTGTAACATTAATTATTGCAATAATATTCTAGAATATGAAAATTATTAATCATTTCGATAGCGCGTCAGTAAAGATTAATTTGATTGTAAATTCTGAATGAATCTTACAAATCAGACACCGACACACTATAGATTTTTTATAATATGGCCACATATTTGTTTTTTATTTTGACTATAATGTTGTAATTGTAATGCACCATTTTTTTATATGTATTTAATATACAGGGTGTCTCATGAAGACCGTATCACCGCTCGTAGGCAGGTAGAAGAGATTATTCTAAGTCAAAAAGTCCTTTACCATTTTGCGAAATTGGCAATAATTAACAAACTTCTTCATAAATATAAATCCGCGAATGAGCGTGCAGCACCGTGCAAAATGACAGCTTGGAGCTGTCATTTTTTCGCATGCTTGTACGCCGTAGCAACGAAATGAAGAGAACTATGAATACTAATAAATGAATAACTAATTACAAAAATATAAAAAAACTCAGTTTTAATTTATCTTGATATTAGACTTCATCATTTCCATTAAAAAAATACAAAATCCATATTTTCGGGTCACATTAATTAGTCATCGTTAGTTTTGATTTTTTAGGTATATAAAATGCTGTTTATTAGTTCTCCTTATTCCGTTGCTACGGCGTACGAGCGCACGAAAAAATGACAGCTTCGAGCTGTCATTTTGCACGTGGCTGCACGCTTATTTGCCGATCTTTATTGATGAAGAATTCATTAACTATTGCGAATGTCGTAAAATGATTATGAAATTTTCGACTCAGGATTATACTTTCTACCTGCCTACGAGCGGTGATACGGTCTTTCTGGGACAACAAGTATATACAGAGTATCTGACAACAAAATATTTTGCAAAATTTGCAATAGTTCTTGACATATGAATTAATGCATGCGAATTAATAAATAAGCGCGTGAGAGGCACTGATCAAACTNTAGGCGTGCACGATTCTCAGTTATAAAGAAAACTAGCTTTTCTTATGCAATGTCTTACAATTAACATGAGAGGCGGAGTAAACAAACAAGCGCGGCGCAATTTTGCTTCTTTCGATCGGGCTGTGTTCGGGAGTCCGTAACGGGCGAACGAAAAGTACCACTGCGTACTGCCGAATATCGAGATCGCAAGAAAAGTCACGTTTCTCGTTGCTAACATTGCACGAGATAAGCTATTTGTCTATACAGCTGATAAGCGTGTACGCCTATAGAGTCAGATCAGTGCCTTTCGCACTTCTTTATTCATTTACATTTATTAATTTATATCTCAAGAACTTTTGCNAATTTTGCAAAATGGTACATAACTTTGCTATGTTCAGATTGATCTGATTTACCTACACACTTCGGTTTATTAATTTGTGTGATACTCTGTATATACTTTTACTTTATACGTACTGTTCTAATATATACTTTTTTATTTTTTCTTTCATTTTATATGTTATATTTTATCAACGATAAATAAGAGATGTTTTCGGAGTCGCAGTTACATTCAATAATGAGATGTACACGTGAACGTATGATACCACGTTAAACCGCGATTAATACCGTTAATCTATATAAATATGCTATGGAACAGGGTAGTAAATGTACAGACGGCGTCATTAATTCGAAGAATAGGCGCGGGGATCACATAAAAAGTCCAGTTGATCCAAATATCCATTAGTCCCAAAATCGGGTGTCCAGTTGTGGACACCCGATTGCTACTAGTTAGTTAGTACGGCGCCCGTTGGCGCTACGAGCGACCGCCCCGCTTGCCCTCCGATCCCCGCGCCTATTCTTCGAATTAATGACGCCGTCTGTAAGTTGGGCCAAAGTTTGAACCGGTAGCAAAATGTTGGGCAGTAAATAATATTTTATTGCACAACACCTTGCTACCGTTTCAAACTGCCCAACGTACATTTCATTGTTATATTTTACATTTTTTTCTAATTTATTTTTTTCGTCATTACTATGGATCTAAAACAATAATATTATNTATAAAAAGAGCCAATATTATGCGTGAAATGAAAGAAGTCCGTTGAAAAGGATGCAGAATCGATTACATAAGAAATAATTCTTTTTTTGTAATTCTTGTCTTCTTCATATAATAATTAAGTATTAGTCGAAATGTAACATATTGCACAATACAAATTTATGTATTTGCATGCCATCCTGAGCGACTTCTTTAATTCTACGCAGAGTATATAACAATTTTTTTCTTGTTTCTTATTAAAAACATAANTAGTGTGCATTTGGCTGCATTGAACTCGATTCCATTCTTGAAATTGTAATTATTTACATAGTATATTTTAATTATTTCCGTAGTATAGAAAAAAAAATTTTGCAATTATATTGTACAAAAACAATTATCTCGAAAATAACGATTTGTACAATTTTTTGTTGCTTATTATAGACTACAGTATTGTATTAAATTATTGTATATTTTCTTCTTCACATTTACAAAGTACAGTCATTGTGTAGGTACATTACAAATTAAGTTTGTCATTTTTTCTATCATTTTTNTCACATAATAAAGATCAAAGGTAGCCAAAAATTTTTATTAGCAAAATATCACAAATAATAGTCACAATTTTTAATTTTTTCGTTACAAGAAAATAATGCTTACATAATTATATCTGAAATAATATCCTTTTTTCTAAAACTGGCATATAAAAAGGAAAACTTTTTTGATTGAAATCGAATGTAATGCACCCAAATCTATACTACAGTTATGTTCCTTATTATAAGAAAGTAAGTATTATGTATAACTTGTTGATTATTGACAGTTTTATGTTATTGGTAATTAATATTTCTTATTGCACATATCCAATACTTTGTATGTTTTGCAAACAAAATTATGCATAATGCGTATAATGTAAGCAAACAGTTATAAGACATGTTTGTGAATGCAGTAGCGATCTCTCTTTGTGTATATGATTTATTTCATACTTATTTATTACATATATAATTCATATATTTTATTATACGACAAACATTACCACATTATTTATCACATAAGACTATTTTTTTCCCGTTTCATAAACTGTATTGTGTGCGTGTGTTTTTCAATATATATTGTTGCGTCCGCAGTGGCGGTTCAGCTCTATCGCCGGTTTCCACGATTCGCACTCACACCCGCGGTCAAGAAAGGACGCGGTTTCTCGTTAAAGAACTTTATTACAACTCGAAATACAACGATAATTACAGAATACAGAACCAGATGTTCAAACGCGTCGTGACAGTTCCGCGGTCGCGATTCTTCTCACTTGAACCTCGCTGTCAACAAACCCCGTTGCTACCAGAACAAAAAGATGCCCAAGCGATCGATCGTCGAAAATCTTCATATATCGCGTGTCGCATCTCGCAACACTGCCCCTTCTCTCTTCTAGATCATCGTCCCGATGATCCAACAGAAGAAGTCAACCTTCTCGCTCTCTTCTAGACTGCTGTCTCAGAATACATGAGCCAGTTGACCGGAGAAACTCTTGACCGAGAATCTCCTCTGGAGCAATTTTGTCCACAAAATTCTTCCGACTTCGGACAAGGGGGGGGAACTCACGTGGACCCATCGTCCGAAAGGACACCCCAGATCCCCGCCTNGGCATTTGCCCCAAGACCCACGGAAAATCACGCTCAAAACCGTGAGTAAGGCGGACTTCTAGTACGGCGTTCAAAACACGAAGATCTCGCGACGACTCGATGCAAAGCCAAAAATCCCCCGACGTCCAACGACGAAACGGAAAGATTCATGGTAGCAACGGAGTAAACGCTGGAATTAAAGAAAAGCAAACGAGTAACCAAGCTCAATTAACACAAAAACAAATAAACAAATATCCGTAACATCTAAAAAAAAAAAAAAACAAACATCTACTAATTCTCACAGGGCTCTGACGCGTGTTCCCACCTCTCGCAAAACGAAGCCAATCTATCAGCGTGCACCACCTTACACTTATGCTTTCCCGAGCGACGTATGCAATAAACTACGTCGCTTACTTTTTAACAACCACGAACGGCCCTTCCCAACTTCTCTGCAATTTAAGAGCTTTACCCTTACTTCTGCGAGGATTGAAAAACCAAACCTTCTGCCCCTCATCAAATAGGATATGTCTGGCTTTACGATCATAACGAACCTTCGCCTTATTCGACCCCAACGCCAATCGCTCCCTAACACCCTGATGAATTTCCTCCAATTTTGCCCCTAACTCCTGAATATAATCCTCTGAAGAATCCGAACAATAATTCGGCGGAGTACCTCGCAACAAATCTAATGGTAAACGCAGATCTCGACCGAAACTCAACTCATCCGGAGTAGCTCCCGTAGTTTCATGCCTAGAAGACCTATAAGCAAGCAAGAACATAGATACCCAACGATCCCAACTCCTCTGATTCTCATCGATAAATTTAGACAAGTACTGTAGTATCGTCTGATGCTGTCTTTCAACTTGCCCATCCGACTGCGGGTGAAGAGCAGTAGTCCTCGTCTTCTTTATCCCCAACAACCACGATAGCTCCTGAAAAAGCCAAGACTCAAAATTCTTCCCCTGATCTGTGTGCAACTCCAACGGCACACCAAACCTGGAAACCATCTGATTAACAAAAACTTCCGCAACGGTCGACGCTCTAATATTCTTCAAAGGAAAAGCCTCCACCCACTTGGTGAAACAGTCTACCACCACAAGAAGATATTTATTTCCTGAAGAAGACGCTGGAAAAGGACCCAGAACGTCCATCTGTAATCTCAAAAGGTGCACCAGCATTGAAGATCTGCAACGGAGATTTCCCNTTATCCGAAGGACCTTTCTTCGCGACACAAACTCCGCAAGATTTACACCAATTTTCTACATCCTTCTTGCACGAAGCTCAATAGAACCGCCTACGACTTTTTTCTAGCGTCTTGTTTACCCCGAAATGCCCCCCAGAAAGAGCATCATGAGCCTCTTCTAAAATCCGCTTCACCCTCTTCCGAGGAACGATAACTTGAAGAAAACTAGATTTCAAACCCGGTGCCACCCACCTCTTATGTAAAACTCCATTCACAACGACTAAAGCGTCCCAATGGGACCAGTAAATTCTTGAAGAANGGCCTCTAGCCGAAACCTCCTCCCACGAAGGACGTCTGTCCCTCTCCTTTCCTAGCAAAATGACCGATACAGCCGGATCCTCCAACTGATCTTCACGCCACTCCCCGGAAGTATTTTCCTCTAAAACTATACGAGCTACTCGCCCCTCCTGCTCCAAAGCATCTCTCACTTCCATCTTCGAGCAATACTTGCAGCTAGATTCCGCACAAGGCCGCCTAGAGAGACCATCCGCGTTTTTGTGCGCCCGACCGCTCCGATGAACTACCTCAAAATCGTATTGCTGCAGCCTCTCCGCCCAACGAGCCAACTGACCCTCCAAATCCTTAAAAGACATCAACCACCTAAGAGAAGCATGGTCAGTTCGAACCAGAAATTTCCGTCCGTATAGAGAGTGATGAAAGGACTTAATTGAGTCTACCATCGCCAGCAATTCCCGCCGAGTAACACAATAGTTCCTCTCAGACTTATTCAACACTCTACTATAATAGGCAATGACCTTTTCCGTTCCATGCTGAACTTGCGACAAAACTGCACCAACACCATGACCGGAAGCATCCGTGTCCAGAATTAATTCCCCTTCCTCAAGAGGAAAAGAAAGTATCGGAGGTGAAGACAACGCCTGCTTGAGATTCACAAACGCCTCCTGACACTGCTTCGTCCAAATGAACTTAACCTGATTCTCCGTCAAAACAAACAGTGGCTTAGCAATAAGAGAAAAACCTTTCACAAACTTACGGTAATAAGAGCAAAACCCAAGGAAACTGCGAACCTGCTTCTTGTTCTGCGGAACAGGCCACTCCGCTACAGCCGTAACTTTCTCAGGATCCGTTAAAATCCCCTCGGCCGAAATCACATGCCCTAAATATTTCACTTGTTTCCTAAATAAATTACATTTCTTAGGATTGAGCTTTAAATTGGCCGCTCTGAGCCTCAGAAAAACCCTTCTCAAAGTAGCTACTATTTTCTCAAAAGACTTTCCAAACACAATCACATCATCCAAATATACCAAACAAATCTTAGACAATNGTTGATGAAGAATTCGTTCCATCGCACGCTCAAAAGTAGCTGGAGCGTTACACAAACCAAACGGCATCACCGTGAATTGCCAAAGTCCATTCCCCACCGAGAAAGCTGTCTTTTCCCTGTCCTCCGGCCGAATCTTCAACTGCCAATACCCAATCTTCAAATCCAGAGTAGAGAACCATTCATTCCCGTACAATTAATCTAGAAGATCATCAATCCTAGGAAGGGGATAGGAATCCTTAATCGTGACCGCATTGAGTTTACGATAATCAACGCAAAATCTCAAACCCCCGTCCTTCTTCTTCATAATCACTGCCGGGGAGACCCACGGGCTAAAAGACTCTTCGATGACCCCTTGATCCTTCATGTCTTGAAGAATTTTTTCCACTTCAGCCTGCATCCCCAACGGAATCCTCCTTGGAGCTTGCTTAATCGGCCGAGGATCCTGCAGATTTATTTCGTGCTGAAGAACATCACAGTTCCCAGCCACGATCTGTTCAGAGAAGACATCCTGAAATTCAACCAAAAATTNGGCAAAAACGCCCCTCTGTGCTTCATTCAAATCAACCGCATTCCTCTCAAAGAATTCTCTTAAAATATCTGGAACCCCCCCGGCAGCGTCACACACCCGACCACAAAACACCTCCGCCTTTTCCGGAGGAGCAACAATGAGAGACTCCACTGTCCTGTCCAACCCCGTCTTCCTAAAGAAGTCAAGACCCAGGATACAGTCATCGAGTATATCCGCCACAAATAGAGGCATGCTTAAAGAATGTCCCCCTACAACCACTCGAGCCACACATTCTAACTGAACCGGAACTTCCTCACCGGTAGGATATCTCAACCTCGGCCTCTCTGTCAACCTTCGACATTGCGATTTCTCTACAAAATTAAAATTCACGATCGACACATCGGAGCTCGTATCAAATTTAAAATTACACGATTTACCATTCAAAAAAACCAGAAAAAAACAAACAAATTATTTTTCTTATTATTAATTTGTTTAACCAACATTACCCTTTCCGGGGTGTCTTACCCCATAGCCGAACCCACCCCTGGAAGCTCGATTAAGCTTTGTTTTCCGACAAATTAGCCGGACACTCATAACGGAAGTGCCCCTTCTTCCCGCACTTCCAGCACTCTCTTTCCTTCCGTCCACTATCCCCCCTCTGCTCTTGCCTCTTCTTCGTTCCGTTCTTCGACCTCCGCTCGCCGTTTTTCTTAAAATTATAGGGCGTCTCCCTGCTCGCCCCAAAACTATTTTCCTGAATAGCTTTCACCGCCTTCGCGCGCTCGACGGCAGCCCTCAGCGAAGTTACGTTCTCTATTTGCAACGCACGCTTTACAAATCTATCCGAGAGGGCGGCAATAAACTGTGCGCAAGCGACTCTCTCGCAAATTTCATGCGTACCCTCCGGATACGCGAGACGCGCCAGACGCTCCATATCCGCGCCGAGCGTCGCAAAATCCTCTCCGCCCCTCTGCTTACGATTAGTAAATTGCGCGTAACAACTTTGGAAAAGTTCTCGCTCCCCAAACCGCGATTCCAACTTAGAGCGAATATCCTCGAAGCTGAACCCCTCTTCCAGCCCTTCTAAAACTGAGCGCGCCTTTCCCCTCANATTAGTGGCCAAAACCGTCGCTTTTGCCGCATCGCTCCACCCGTTCGCACGCGCGACCAATTCGAACTGCGCGAAGAACTCGCGCTACGGAACACTCCCGTCAAACACGTCCGGCTTAATTTTTATTCCCGTCAATTCCCCCGCCCGTACAGAAGAATGATTTGGAA